CCCAGACGATGGTATCATATTCTTACTGTTGGCCTGGAGAGAAGGCAGGTGCTCCGGAAGAGGACAGTACTGTTTCTGCTAGCCGTCCAGGGCCACCCAGCCTCAGACTGTTGGACGTTACATTCTCTGCTTGATGTTCTTTTAGATCACACTGATTGTACAAATTCAGAAAGCAACCTGCATGAGTACCACCGGCTTGTGACTCCTGTTCTCAGGGGAGGATTTTTCACCCCCACTCAGTGTCAAGGTTGAGACACACGGGTTTCCTTGCTCCCCCTTTCTCATTTACCCTCTCAGTGAGGGCATCACAGCTTTATTTGGTGGGGGTAGAGGGAGGTTCCTATTAGACTCCCCATCTTAGGGTTTTTTTCTTAGTGGTTCATAAAATGATGATGCATCTTATCACCATGGTTTCTCGTAAGTGATGAAGAAAGTTTCTATTACAAATATTGTATATGATATTTGAAATGATCCTTCATGTGAATAGAAAAGGAGATAGGATTTTGAAGAAATGGTTTCATGAGATGAAACTTTCCTGTCTTGTCCTAAACCACTTCTTATCTGAGCTGTTCATGAGGCATTCCCTGCCTAGCACCGGGAACCTGCTGGCTTCCCTTGACTTTTGGGATAAAGGCAGAGTTCTTCTACATGGCCAAAGCCCTGCTGGTCCTGCCTGTTCTCTGGTCATTTCCACACTATATTCCATTCTCTCCCCTCCAGCTTTCAATCCTTGCATTCTTTTTTTTTTTTTTTTTTTTTTTTTGAGACGGAGTCTTGCTCTGTCGCCCAGGCTGGAGTGCAGTGGCCAGATCTCGGCTCACTGCAAGCTCTGCCTCCCGGGTTCACACCATTCTCCTGCCTCAGCCTCCCAATTAGCTGGGACTACAGGCGCCCGCCACCTCGCCCGGCTAGTTTTTTGTATTTTTTAGTAGAGACGGGGTTTCACCGTGTTAGCCAGGATGGTCTCGATCTCCTGACCTCGTGATCCGCCCGTCTCGGCCTCCCAAAGTGCTGGGATTACAGACTTGAGCCACCGCGCCGGGCCAATCCTTGCATTCTTAACCTTCCACACTGCCTCTCATCACAGAGGCCTGGCATGGTGGCTCTGTTGGGAAACTTCACTCTCCCTGGTTGGCTTAGCTGATCTCCGTTCCAGTGTCACTCTTCAGGACGCTTCCCCTGACGCTGTCAGACCCCGATGGCAGGCCCCTGCAGTACTACGTGCTTCTCTCCCAGCATAAACACAAGCTGCAGCTCTACCTTTCTGTGATTCTTGATCAATGTTCAAATCCTTCGCTGGACTGAGCACTCCGTGAGGCAGGAATCAGGCCTGTTTTTACTCAACATTGTATCCCCAGAGTCAAGCCAGGCAACTGGCAGTTGGTTGATGCCTAAGTATAATTTGTAAATGGATGGATGAATCCAGGTGTGAGCTGCCCCACAAGCAGGCAGTAAACCTCTGGAGCCTGGCGCAGCCAGGGGAAGCAGAAAGAGCAACAGACTTGTCATCAGAAGGCCTCTACTTTTGCCATAATGATGTGACTTTGGGAAAATCCCATCCTCTGTCTGTTTCCTCATCTCTAAATTGGGAATATCATTTAGTCTGCCTATAAGATAGGGATGTTTTGTGAGGCCGTGAAGACACTTTGAACTATACAAGTTATGCCCCACCCACAAGCTTCTAGCTCAGCAATGGGCTCCTATGCCAAGCTCTGTTGATATGAGTAGGTTGACTGTCCCCTCCCCAAGAGAAAGGGAGATGAGATCTTATCATCCTTGGGGAGGGGTGCTCAAAGCTTTGAGTCATGAAAGGACCATGTGGCCTTGTGCTTCCTCATCTTTACGTTTGCCCTTTTCAAAAACCCTCATGGAATTTCTTAGGCCTTCAAGGCCCAATGGCCTAGGTATATAAGAAAAGGAACCTCCTGTTGAGGACCTTCTGGTCTTTATTCTCGACACAAAGTTGGGGCCATTAGCCAGAAGAGGGGAAAGGGTGGGGAATGGGAAGACTCCTTTCCTTCTCTCCTGCTTGCAGACTGGTCTTCAGACACAGACACGGCTGAGTAGGGACAATGACTGTACCTTCTGGGACAGAGCTCCTGAGACAATCATCTGCAGGTGTATGCATTGCACCTACACCTGGCAGAATGCATGAAGTTGCTTACTTTGCCTCTGGGACCTGGACTTTAATATTAAGGTAGCTATTTACAGCAAAGCCTTACTACTTTCTCCCATATACCTCATCTTAGAGATGGGAATCCTGGGTTTCTGTTTCATCTGTATTGATTGACTATATCATTTTCCCTCTCTGAGTCAATTTTCTCATCAGTTGCATGGAAATAATAATAATAATAATAATGCCACCCACCTTCCTATCTCACTGAGTTCTTTTAAGGATCAAGTGAGGTCATTTGTCAGACATAAGTGCACAGTAAGTGAAAAATCAATGCAAACGAAAGGCAATATTATTTTCTCTATGCATTTTAAATCCCTGCTTCTGTAGTAGGAAAGCACCATGCTGACTTAGTTATTCTGAATTAACTCAAATATTACCCAAGATCTACAGTCCATAAGGTATGTAGGCAGAGAGTGAGATGTGAACAAATCCTTCATCACAAACCAATTCTCAAGCATCTCTCCAGGGCCAGCCATCCTCCCTCTGGAGAAGGGGACCCTGAGGGGTATTCACTCTCTAATTGTTTTAACAGCTTGGCTGCCCTGCCAGTACCCTCCCAGAAAACCAGATTGGTGAGGGGAGGTGCAGAATGAAGAATGAACTGGCACCTCAGCGATTCTGGATTCTGTGGAGAGGGTGGAAGGCTATACTACAGACACACACCCCTGCAGGTTAATTCTAGCTGGATGCCGCAGCAGGATGGATGAGAACATGCTTCTGCAAACCTCTTGGAATGCACCACTGACTAGATTCTGGTGATCAGAGCTTCCAGCCGGCCAGAACTTCCTCAGTGCATGATCTGCTGAGCAGCTCTGACAGGGGTTCACTGGTGTCCTGGTGGAATGCAGAGCCCAGGCCCTCGGAGCTCCCACTCTCCAGCTGGAAGCTGCCCACCAGCTCCTGGATCCACTGCAGGTCTGCGGAGAACTCCTGCCTCAGAATCTCAAACTGGGTTTGCAGATGGTCCAGTTTCCTGGCCACGCTTCCAAGGCTAGATCCCGTGGCCTTGATGTCTTCTCGCAGCAGCTTCTTCAATGACTCTACCTTGCGGAACTCATATCTGAGCTGGGACAGGTCGTGCCGGGTGCTCTCATTCTCCTCCCGGTACCAAGCTTCCTTCTCATTGAAGATGGAGACCAGGGCCTCCACATCGTCCTGGATGGTATCGTTGGCCTCCACCAGGGCATGGAATCCCAGGTCCACCCGAGCCACGTCTTCCACCACACAGGCAAAACGTTCAAAGTTGACGTAGGAGTTGTTGCGAGGCATGCTTGAGTGGCATTTGAGAGTGTACTCTCTCAGGCGCTTGGTTTTCAGCTGGGTGGGCTCTGTCTTCCGCTCTTCGGGGGCTCTGACTTCTCCTTTTGACTGGTGGGTGTTCAGACAGAAGAACCAGAGTGTTAATTTGCCTCCCGCCCCAGAGGGCAGTTCGAGGGGCAGGCAGAAGGCACACACAAGCGGCCTCTGGCATTCATTGCATGCATCAGGGCAGGGAGAACCAGGGCGGGATGAGCAGCCCCACAGACCGTACGTGAGGTCAAGGGGTGTGGGGCTGCTGCCTGCATGCTCATTCAGGGCAGAGGGGTCCACAGTCATTACAGAGAGCTCCACACGCATAGCATTTAAGGGGTGCTCACGCAGACAAGCAGGCTGCAGCCAGGACTCCACAGGCATCTGCGCAGGGCTGCAGTGCGTGAGGCCAGGGCTCACGCAGCGGGGCTGAGGAGCATCTCTCCTTCAGGGCTCCTTGGGCCTTCCCCATCCTTCAATGAGCAGATGAAGCTGAGCAGATGAAGGCGACCTCCTCTCAGACTACTCCAGCCCTTCCTGTTCTGTCTTCCACAGGCCTCACCTTCTCTTTGTATTGATTGATTGATTATTATTTTTTAGAGAGATGGGGTCTTGGCATGTTGCTCAAGTTGGTCTTGAACCCCAGGGCTCAAGCCATCCTTCTGCTGCCTCGGCCTCCCAAAGTGCTGGGATTACAGGCATGAGCCACTGCGCCTGGCCTGCCTCACCCTCTCTTATCTCTACCTTTCTTATGGTCATTTCATCCTTGCTGACCTTCTCATGTAACAGTTAAGGTGAATGGGAAGTCTGGTGATGTCCCTGGGTGTGCATAGCTGGCCAGTCAGCAGAATTAGGGCCTGAATCCTGCTGAGTCTCACCCTCTCAAAGTGCTCTTCACTACACCAGACCGCAAGAGCCTCTGGAAAGCCAGCAGCCAGAAGCCCAGCTGCAAGGCGAGTTAGGCAGGGATTCATCTTTTCGCTCCAACTCTCCCCGGAGGGAACAGAATTGCCCTAACAGTGGCTGTCTCTCTTCCCCACCAGGCCTCTGTCTTGGGCCCCATTCCTCAGGGCCTGAGGAGGTGGGTGGCTGATTTAAGTGTCATCCTTGACTCAGAGACCCAAAAATCAGAAGGAAGGAGGGCTGGTCACAAAGTTGGGGTTTTCAATTGTCATTGATCTCTCTACACCTGGGGAGCCCTGATTTCCACGTGGAGAAGTGGCAGTGACACACCCTCCAACAAAGAACGCTGTGTAAGTTGGCCCCAAAGAAAAAGGGTTTCAACTGAGGTTTGTGAGAGTTTAATTTCATAAGTTACCTGAATTTGAGACACACAAACTTAAAATGGCAAGCAAATAAACCTATTCGAACAAGCCCAGGCCCTTTGGGGCCCCTGGCTAGCTTTCATCTGTGCCCAGGGTCAGCGTTTCAAGCAAAGGCCTCTCTACAGGCCCTCTGCATCTGGCTGCCTAGGCCAACCCTGGCGACAGAGCAGGGACCCTTTGCCCATTGGAACTCATGGCTGTGCCCTTACCGTGATCCAGGGGTGTCTGAGAGCTTCTTGGATTGTGAGCCGTTTCCTGCAATGAGGATTGGGAAATAGTGATGATCCATGAGGACAGAAGTTGGGAGCAACCATCTCCGTTCTCACTCTTTTTAGAACTATATTTTGGCATTATTTGGCCACTGCTGTCAAACCAGTGGAATGGAGGATGCAGAGATGGATGGGAACCGGCTGCAAATTCTGCCCTCCAGGGGAAGGAAGCAGTCCAGGCAGACCCCTCAATAGAGTGGCCTTGTTACCTAAACCCATACTGTTAGTCCCAAAGCTGAATGGCCTAAGAAGAGTCATAAATGCTTTAATGAGCTTCCATAATCTTCCAAAAGCCAACCCTCCACTGCTAAATCCCTGGTCTCTGTTTTTCTGTTTGCCTCCTGGATCCGTTCTCTGCCTTTTGCTGCTCTGTACCTAGGTAAGCGACTCTCCCTAGCACTGCTCTTAGACAGGAAAATCAGGGCCCTTGCACTCCAGACAACCCCACTCTGGCCCTCTCTGAAGTCTGTGGGATAGAGAGGACATGGTGTTCTAGTCTGTGGACCTTTCTTCCTGCTCCATCCAGGGCATGCTCCGGGTACCCAGCACCCTGCAATCCCTGCCTATTTCATTCTTTGACCCCACAGCCACGGGGCTCACCCTGGCCCCTGGAGAAGGGATAGGGTTAGCATGTCTTCCACCGCTGCACTGTACTGACCTCTCCGAGCCTACTAGCTCCTACTCCCAACCTGAACTGGCTTGAAAATCCTGCCACTTAACCTTTTCAAATCTGAATTCCAGGTGCCTTTGGGACAGACTACACAAGGTAATGAGCCCTAAAGAAACCCAGGCTGACTTCCAGCGCGCGCACACACACACACACACACACACACACACACACACACACACGTTATTTACATTTCAACAGGAGAAGAAAGCAGAAAGACTTGAGCAAACAAGACGAATGCCACGTCTTGGCTAGGCCACGCTTCCCAGCACCTGCCCGGATTAGACCACAATGGTGCAGATGACAGCTATGTCAAAGCAGGGACACACTGACAGGTCTTTGCCAGAGGCGACAGGAAGGGATCAGTACCTGAGAAACCAGTGGCTTCTCTGTCCTCTTACCGGGTCTCTTTAACCAGAAGCTTCCGAATGAAGTCCTTGGCCAGCTCGCTCGTCTGGCTGAAGAATTCCTCATCAAAGTCGTAACTCACTGCTGTGATATTTGCCAGTGTTTCCTGCTTCGTGTCTCCCAGGAAAGGGGATGCTCCACTTAGGCTGAGTACAACAGAGAGGGAATCACATAACTGAGGGAAAAGTAGGTGGAAATGGGGATGACGGACTAGGGGAACCCTGCCCCATGACTGCTGCATGGAGCTGGAAGGCTCCCAGCAACACAGCCTGCCCAATCTGGGCAGCCAACCAGCAACCTGTTCAGCTGAATCCAATTCAATACATGTTCACGGAGCTCCTCCTAAGCACCCGACAGAAACTGTGTCTTCAAGGGATGTGAAAGCGGAGGGGAGAGAAACACAGAAACATATCTCTTTGTGATCCCCAGCAGGACAAAGCAGAATATAATGGAAGGCCAGCCAAAGGACAGGGGAGCACAGGAAAGAGGGAGGCCCAGTGCGGCTTCACGGTGACATGGATATTTGCATCGTTTGTGTCTTAAAGAATAAAGAGGTTGTCAGCAGTCAGAGAAGGAGACAGAAAGCCCTTCTGGGTTACAGGAGCAACTTAAGCAGAGCCCAAGAAGTTTGGAAATAGATGGGCCATTAGGGACAGGAAGGATCTGTGTGGTTCCCCAACAGGGACTGTCAAAGATGTCATACAAATAATGACTTCTAAATCTACTATCTCCTGACTCAGATTTCAGTTGCTCATGGGATGCCTTGGTAGAGGCAAGATCCAGGGGTGTCTGTATCAGAAGTGCCATTGTCCCAAATTTATTGTGTCCAAACCCATTCCAAGCATTCCCTTGATGAATGACATTACTTTATGAATGTACCCAAGCTAGAAGCACAGGAGTCACCTTGGACCCTTCTTTCTATTCCCTTGACACATCTGACTGGCCAAAAGCTTCCTTGTTGGTTCCATTTACTAAATATCTCTTGAAAGTCATCCCCATTTCCACAGCCACTTTCTTAGCATGGTGGCAGCAAGATGCACTGGAAACATTTTGATATTGCAATTTGATAAGCCACTCATTAGCTGTGTGAAGCTAGAACCCCTCTGAGCTGTAGTTTCCTCATCTATAAAATAAAGGAAATAAAATTCCCACCTCACATGATTGTTGTAAAGAATAAATGCATACAAAAGCCTTATGTAATCCTGGCCCACATTAAGGACTCTGGAATTAATGGCCATTATTATTGTTATTGTGAGAACACAAAAGCCCTCTATGACCTTCCATCTTCTATAGGATCACATCTAAACTCCTGAGCAAGGCATCAAGCGTTGGTCCTTACCCCATGCTTGGTACATTTCAGCCGAACTTAAGGTTTACCGTTCCTTTTCTCTTGCTGTTTCCTCAGCCAGCATAGCCCTTCCCTCCTTCTCCACCCACAGAATTAACTTCATTCCCTACATCCCAGTTCAAATTGATCCATCAATCATGTGCTCTATTTCTCTCTCAATAAACCTTCAGCAAACCAGTGGCTCCCATCTGTGTCTCAAAGAGGCATGTTCATGCCTCCAGCCTAACCTTGGTTCCACTGGGTGTGAGTTAGGTGTATGGTGTGTTTCCCACAGACAGGGAGCCCCAGCAAGCAGGGAAGACCCTCCTTCATGTCGCATCCTGGGGCCTGGTATGGTGCCTGCCATGGAGCAGATCTCAACAAAGCTGTTAAATTCAAACAAGCCACAAGAAGACTATGTCCTCAGTAGACACTGGGATTCCTTCTTTTTTGAGACAGGGTCTTGCTCTGTTGCCTAGGATGGAGTGCAGTGGTGTAACTACAACTCACTGCAACTTCTGGGCTCAAGCGATCCTCCTGTCTCAGCCTCCCAAGTAGTTGGGACTACAGATGTGGGCCAGCACACCCAGCTAGTTTTTTGTTTTGTTTTTTGTAGAGACGGGGTTTTGTCATGTTGCCCAAGCTGGTCTTGAACTCCTGGACTTAAGCATCTGCCCACCTCAGCCTTCCAAAATGCTGGGATTACATGGAGTTCCTTCATAGTTCAAATCAGAGTCCTGAAGAAATCAAAGTTTCAAGAGCCAGTGTCAGACTATTCTGGCTCTGATCTGAAACTATAGATCGATGCTTCTCAGCCTTCTCTTTGCATCAAATTCAGCTGGAGTTTTAAAAGATACAGATACTAAGACTCTACCCCCAGCAATTGTGATATAATAGATCTGGGGTGGGACGTGGGCCATGGTGGGTATTAAAAGCTCTGCTGTGCAGCCAGGGTTGAGATCTTCTGCTGCAGCTCAGGGGGATCCACCATGTCACACAAGGTTCCTACTCCAAGTGCTGCTGGGAGAGTCAGAGACCTGGTTCACAGGGATCATTGAGAGAATGATCCCCTCAGCTACGGAGCACTGGTGCCGCCTGCCCCAACCGGTTGACTCTTACTCCAGTGTGCTATAAAAATAGCATTTTCCATGTGTGCCGTGAAGGGAAAATGGTTGGGAAGGGCTGATGGAATGAATAGTCACCAGCCCACTGTGCATGGGCCAGAGCCAGGGCTAGGAAACTTGTACATGTTGACTTATTTAGCTTTCACAACACGCCCATGGCAGGAAGTTTGTGATTCCCGTTTTTCTCATGAGAAAAACAAGCCCAGAGGTTAAGTCCCTACCCAAGGTCACAGAGATGGAAAGTGATAGTATCATGGGACTCCAGCCCCAGAGGTAACTCACTACACACTGGAGCTATGCAGAAAATCTCTGTCTAAGCAACTGAATACAGGCAAAGAGGAAGGAGAAAGGAGGAGAGACACAGTGAGAGGAAGAAAAGGGGATCTGGGGAAATGAGGAAAGAAAGAAGAGGCAAGATTGGGGAGGGCATAAGTAGCTTCACAGGGCTATCCAAAGAGTTCTGAGTGAAGGGCCGGGCGCAGTGACTCACACCTGTAATCCCAGCACTTTGGGAAGCTGAGGCAGGTGGACCACGAGGTCAGGAATTCAAGACCAGTCTGGCCAACATGGTGAAACCCCGTCTCTACTAAAAATACAAAAGGCATGGTGGTGGGTGCCTGTAATCCCAGCTACTTGGGAGGGTGAGGCAGGAAAATTGCTTGAACCCGGGAGGCAGAGGTTGCAGTGAGCCAAGATCGTGCCACTGCACTCCAGTCTGGGTGACACAGCAAGACTCTGTCTCAAAAAAAAAAAAAAAAAAAAAAAAAAGGTTCTGAGTGAAAAGTAACATTCTCCCATTACACCTCGGTCTGGGGGAGTAAACAGAGGGGAGCCTGGCATTCTACAGGAGAAATGCAGACACAGGCTGTACAGGTGGAGGAGCCTGAGGCTGCTCCGTGGATGCCTACTCAACCAATGTCAGGGTCAAGATGGGAGAAATGCAGACACAGGCTGTACAGAGTGGAGAGCCTGAGGCTGCTCCCGTGGATGCCTACTCAACCTTAATGTCAGGGTCAGATGGATACAATGAACCTACAGCACTTAGCCTCAGGCTTGCTGTGTGGACTTAACGCATCTGGATTATGGTGGGTGCTTAGTAAATGTCAGTCTGTCAGCCTGCCCCTCTCTCATTCCTTCTGGTTCCCCCAGATCTAAGCTGAGCCAGAGCCCCTACCTCAGGGATACTCACAGGATGTAGGTGATGACGCCTATGCTCCTGCAAAATAAAGAACAGTCAAGTCAGGGCCGCCTGGGTCCAACCCCCGACGAGCAAGGGCACCCTCATGGATCTCAGGGGAAGAGGTCACTTGCCTCCTCCACAGCAGACCCTGGATGCCGTCTCATGCTCCACACCCCTTTCCATCCCTCTCCTCAGCAGCAGCCCGGGATGTGTGTGGAGTCATTGAGCTCCGAATCCTGAGTCTGAAGACCCAAGTTCAAGATCAGACTCTTGCACTTGCAGGCTGTGTGATTTAGGTAAGTCTCTTACCACCTGGGAGCCCTTTTCCCCTTATAAAATGAGGATAATAACTACCTCACAGGACTGTTGGCAGGATTTTAGAAAACCAGGTAACAAAGGTGCTTGGCCAACTGTAAAGCAGGGTCCAAATGAAACGAGTCCCATCTGTGCAGAGAACTAATCCCTGCAGTATCCGCAGGCCCAGCACAGTGCCCAGAATGCATGGACTTTCAGTGACCACTTGGTTGGCCGACTGAGTGAGCTACTGTTACTATTATATTTAACCTGGCTGGGGCAGGCCCAGGGGTGAGCCTGCACCCTCCACCTTGCCTCTTTTCTTGCTCCTCCATTCCTGATAAAGCTCTGACCTGGCCAGGAGCTAACTGGCCTCAGGTCCAGGCCTAGAGGCCTCCAGCTGCCCTGGTCACAGGTCTAACATATTGGGGGAGCAGCCAGAGGCTCTGAACAGTGAGTGTGGAGTAAGGGGCTTTCATAGTTAAGGGGATGTCACCTGGAGCAGGATCTGAGGCCTTCTGCCCTTGGAAAGATCGCTAGGTTACCTGGGTGGCCTGTCCAACTTACCACATGTCAGCCTCCAGACCCAGGGGTTCGTAGTTCACAATTTCTGGAGCTGAAAGAAGTCATATTAAATAGTCAACATGAGTGTGAAAATGACAGGAGAGATGGTTGTAGGGAATTTTAGGGAATTTGGTGCCAAATGTCTCCATCCTGAATCTCCAGGAAAATTAGAGCAGCAGATAAAGGTGACCTGCGTCTAAGATTTCTGAGGAAAGGAGTTGCCATGGCCCAAATGTTTGTGTGTCCCCAAAATTCATATGTTGAAAGCAAATCCCCAATGCAATACTATTAAGAGGTATAGTCTTTAGGAGGTAACTAGGTCATGAGAACGGAAGCCTCTCAAGTGGGACTAGTACCCCTATAAAGAGGCCTGAGGGCTGGGTGTGGTGGCTCACACCTATAATCCCAGCACTTTGGGAGGGTGAGGCAGGAAGACTGCTGGAGCCCAGGAGTTAGAGACCAGCCTGGGCAACACAGTGAGACCCCATCTCCACAAAAAATTTTTAAAAATTACCTGGGTGTGGTGGTACATGCCTGTAGTCCCGGGTACTTGGGAAGAGGCTGAGGTGGGAGGATTGCTTGAGCCTGGGAAGGTTGAGGCTGCAGTGAGCCATAATTGCACTACTACTCCAGCCTGAGTGACAGAGTGAGACCCAATCTTAAAAAAAAAGAGAAAGAAAAAGAAAACGAGGCCTGAGAGAGCTTGTCTGCCCCTTTGGTCATTTGACAACTTAGCAAGAAGGTGCCATCTATGAAACAGGGTGAGCTCTCACCAGATTCCAAAGGTGCCTCACGGGCACCTTGACCTTGGCCTTCCCATCCTCCAAAACTGTAAGCAATAAATTTCTGTTGTTTATAAATGACCCACTTTAAGGTATTTCATTAAAGCAGCCCAAAAGGACTAAGAAAAGAGTTGTCTGTTATCCTGGTAGAAACCTTTTACAAACAGGCCTTGATAGGAAGAGGAAAAGTACACAGAACACCTGAAAAAGGAAGAGGAGAGCAGGGAGAGGAAGGTACAGGAAGGAGAAATGGGGCCTTGGCTATGTGGCCTGCTTTAGAACTCTCTGGTAAAGACCAGTCATGTCAGTGCTGGAAAATGATGAAGAAGAAGGCATTTTCCTCTGAGTCTGGTCTGAAAGAGGGTCCCTCCCATCTGATGAGCAGGAGGACATTCTTGGGGGCCCCTGAGACAATGAGCTTGAGGTGCCTGAGGGGCAGCCAGGGGAAGATGTCCAGGGGCAGGCTTCAGGGGAGTGGGTCAGATCCATCATGTTTGGAGCCATCCATGTACAGGAAGGAGCAGGAGCTGAGCCAGCGATATGATGACCAGGAAAGGGTGCAGAGTCTAGGAGAGATGGCTCTGTCAAGGAGACAAGAAGACCAAATGCTCCCCAGAGATCAAGCAGATAATCCCTGGAAAGTGAGTGTTGAATTTCACAGCCCCGCAGTGCCCAGAGTGTCAAGAAGGTACAGGCTGGGCACGGTGGCTCACATCTATAATCCCAGCAGTTTGGGAGGCCGAGGTGGGTGGATCACTTGAGGTCAAGATTGGAGACCAGCCTGGCCAACATGGCAAAACCCCATCTCTACTAAAAATATAAAAAAATTAGCTGGGTATGGTGGCGGGTGCTTGTAATCCCAGCTACTCGGGAGGCTGAGACAGGAGAATCGCTTGAACCCGAGAGGTGGAGGTTGCAGTGAGCCGAGATCACACCATTGCACTCCAGCCTGGGCAACAAGAACAAAACTCCATCTCCAAAAAAAAAAAACAAAAAGAAGGTACAAAGAAGTGGAGGTAAGAGCATAGATGACACTTTTTAAAAGCTTGGAGATTATGGAGACAAAAGAGAGGACAGTAGCTTGAGAAGGACTGTTCATCCATGCTTTTTACATTTTCACTGCTGCACAGTAATCCATCATGTGAATGTGTATCATTTTTTAGTCATTCTCTCAGAGTTCGTTTAAATGGCTTCCATTTTAAAAAATTATTGAAACGACATTGCTATGAACTTTTTTTTTTTGCATGTGTTTCCTAATGTGCACATGAAAGACTTTCTTTAGGTCAGTGATAATTCAAAGTGTGGTCTGCAGAGACAAACAGTCCATAGACTGTCACTGGTCCAACAAGATAGGCACAGAAATTTGGACTATGCGTTTAGAGACTCTTATAGCAATGTGACACTGCTGTGACATCCAAACTGTGGTCATTTTTCTAATAATTTATTTGCTTTCATTTTTAATTTTTTGATACAGAGTTTCACTCTTTTTGCCCTGGCTGGAGTGCAATGATGCGATCTTGGCTCACCACAATCTCCACCTCCTGGGTTCAAGTGATTCTCCTGCCTCAGCCTCCCAAGTAGCTGGGATTATAGGCACGCGCCACCAAGACAAGCTAATTTTATATTTTTAGTAGAGACAGGGTTTCGCCATGTTGGCCAGGCTGGTCTCAAACTCCTGACCTCCGGTGATCCACCTCCCTCAGCCTCCCAAAGTGCTGGGATTACAGGCATGAGTCACAGCGCCTGGCCTAAGAATTTATTTTTTATTGTATCTTACTGAAGTAGCAGTTCAGGACAGACTGATTTTTTTTTTTTTTTTTTTTTTTTGAGACAGGGTCTTGCTTATTTACCCAGGCTGGAGTGCAGTGGCACAATCACAGCTCACTGCTGACTCAACCCCCTGGGGTTAAGCGATCCTCCCACCTCAGCCTCCCAAGTAGCTGGGACCACAGGCATGTGCCACTATACCAGCTACTTTTTAAAATTGTTTTTGTAGAGATGAGGTCTCACTACATTGCCCAGGCTGGTCTCAAATTTCTAGGCTCAAGCCTCTGGCCTCAGCCTCCCAAAGTGCTGGGATTACAGGCATGAGCCACCACATCCAGCTGAATTTTTTTTTTTTAAAGCTTTCATCATAGATTGAGAAGCAGAACTCACTTTCTCATGCCACTGATCTGAGATATATACACTTTTATTTCTGTCATCAACATGCTTTTACTTGTCTGTCTTTTTTCTGTGCCTTTCTTTTCCTTTCTTGCCTTCTTTAAAAAATGAAGACTTTTGGTTTTATTGTTTTTTCCCCAACTTCTTTTTTTTAACAACTATCTTTGAGACATAACTGTGGATATCTAACAAATTCTAATATAAATCAACATTTTGATGCTCCTCTAACAATCTAAAAACCTCAGAACATTAATTTTAAACACTGCTCCATCTAACATTTTCTTCATGTTTTAGTTTTATCCTATTTTTTTTTGAGACGGAATCTTGCTCTTATCGCCCAGGCTGGAGTGCAATGGTGCCAGCTTGGCTCACTGCAACCTCCACCTCCTGGGTTCAAGCAATTCTCCTGCCTCAGCCTGTGAGTAGCTGGGATTACAGGCACCCACCACCACCCCCAGCTAATTTTTGTATTTTTAGTAGAGATGGGGTTTCACCATGTTGGCCAGGCTGGCTGATCTCGAACTCCTGACCTCAGGTGATCTGCCGGTCTCAGCCTCCCAAAGCGCTGAGATTACAGGTGTGAGCCATGGCGCCCAGCCTATTGTTTTGTTTTTTGAAACAGACTCTCACTGTCGCCCAGGCTGGAGTACAGTGGTGCTATCTCGGCTCTCTGCAACCTCCGCCTCCCAAGTTCAAGCAATTATCCTACTTCAGCCTCCAGAGTAGCTGGGACTACAGGCGTGAGCCACAATGCCTGGCTAATTTTTTGTATTTTTAGTAGAGGTGGGGTTTCACCATGTTGCCCAGGCTGGTCTCGAACTCCTGGCCTCAAGTGATCTGCCCGTCTTGACCTCCCAAAAATGCTGGGATTACAGGCATGAGCCACTGCGCCCAGCCATCATCACAATTTTAGGCAGAAAAATGTTTATATTTGCTTAATATTTACTGATTTCTTTGCTTCTCTTACTTCTTGCTTTGAGGCCTCCCTTCAGAGTTCATTTCTTTAATTCAGAAGTACATCTTTTAGAACTTCTGCTAATGATGGTCTGTTGGTGGTAAACTCTATATCAATGTTTTGGGGTTTTTTAATTGTTCTTCTTTGTTTTTTTTGCCCTCATTCTTTTTTTTTTTTTTTTTTTCTGATACATGATCTCACTCTGTCGTTCAGGCTGGAATGCAATGGCGCAATCTCAGCTCACGACAACCTCTGCCTCCTGGGTTCAAGTGATCCTCCTGCCTTAGCCTCCCAAGTAGCTGGGATTACAAGCATGCGCCGCCACACCTGGCTAATTTTTGTATTTTTAGTAGAGACAGGGTTTCACCATGTTGGTCAGGCTGGTCTCGAGCTCCTGACCTCAAGTGATCCACCCGCCTTGGCCTCCCAAAGTGCTGGGATTACAGGCATAAGCCACCATGCCTGTCCTCACTCTTGAGATATTATTTCTGGGCACACAATTATGGGTTTACTTTTATTTTTCATCAGCTCTTTGGGGATAATATTCCACTGGACACTGGCTTCCACTGTTGTTTGGAGAAATATGCTGTTGATCTAATTATTGTTCTTTTGTAGGTATTTGTCTTCTCTGATTGCTTTGTCTTGGTACCCTTCAGTTTCACTATAATGTGTCTAGGTAAGATTTTTGTTTTTTCTGCATGGTATATATTGTCTTTCTGTGTCTGTGGATGCATGGATGCAGTTCTGAAAATTCTCAGCCATTCTCTTCAAATAGTGCTTCTCCTTTTTTTTGGTCTCTATTTCCTCCTTTTAGAATTCCAAAGAGACCTGTGATGGGTTTTCTCTTTTTACTCTCTTGCTTTTCCTCTCTTTCATTTTCTACGTCTTTGTCACTCTGTGGTGCTCTAGCTAACTTTTTTTTTTTTTTTTTTTTTAAACAGAGTCTCGCTCTGTCACCCAGGCTGGAGTGCAGTGGCGCTATCTCGGCTCACTGCAAGCTCTGTCTGCCGGGTTCACGCCATTCTCCTGCCTCAGCCTCCCGAGTAGCTGGGACTATAGGCGCCCGCCACCACGCCCGGCTAATTTTTTGTATTTTTAGTAGAGACGGGGTTTCACCGTGTTAGCCAGTATGGTCTCGATCTTCCGACTTTGTGATCCGCCCACCTTGGCCTCCCAAAGTGCTGGGATTACAGGCGTGAGCCACTGTGCCCGGCCTCTAGCTAACTTTTTTCAGTTCTTTCAATTCTTCGACTCTCTCCTTCGCTGTATATAATATGATGTTTAATCCATTCACAGAGTTTTAAATTTCAGCAATTAAATTCCTTCAAGTTCTATTATCCAGTTCTTTTTAAAATTCATCTGGTCATTTTTGACACCTCTTGTTGCTTGCTCATTCTTGTGAGTCTACCTTTTATTTCTATGTATATAAAATGTACTTTAATGTGTATATTCCACTAGTGTATATATTCCATCCATCAGATGTTATAGTCAACATCTGATAATTCCAGTATCTTATGTCCTTGAACGTCTAAATTTTGCTAGTCTCTAACTGAAGTGGTGACAAGCGAACTTGCCTCTAGGGGAGGTCCTTCTGTTGAATTTTCTTGCTGCTCACTGCTCTAGCTCTAGCTCCAACTCATCAGCTTTTGGGGGTGGGACAGGTGGTACTGAAGGAGTTACTATGTTTAAAGATTTCTCTGGCCAGGAGCAGTGGCTCACTGGCTCACGTCTGTAATCCCAGTACTTTGGGAGACCAAGGCAGGGGGATCACTTGAGGTCAGGAGTTCGAGACCTGCCTGGCCAACAGGGTGAAACCCTATCTCTACTAAAAATACAAAAATTAGCCAGGCATGGTGGTGGGTGCCTGTAATCCCAGCTACTAGGGGGGCTGAGGCACGAGAATCACTTGAACCCAGGAGATGGAGGTTGCAGTGAGCTGAGATCACACCAGTGTACTCCAGAGTGGGCGACAGAGTGAGACTCTGTCTCAATAAATAAATAAAAATAAAGATTTCTCTTACTTCCCGTGAGACCAGAATTTCATGAAAAAGAAAATTTTTCTCAAGAATCCAGTTTTGTAAGCCGGGCATGGTGGCTCACACCTGTCACCCAGCACTTTGGCAGGCTGAGGTGGGAGGATCACTTGGGTCCCGGAATTTGAGATCAGCCTGGGCAATATAGTGAGACCCCACCTCTACAAAACATTTTAAAAATTTGCCATTTTAAAAATGGTGCATGCCTGTAGACCAAGCTACTCAGGAGGCTGAGGTGGGAGGATTACTTGAGCCCAGGACATTGAATCTGTGGTGAGGTATGATGGCACCACTGCACTCCAGCCTGGGTGACAGAGTGAGACCCTGTCTAAAAAAAAAAAAAAAAAAAAAAAATCCAGTTTTGTAGCTGGAGGGCTTTTTAGAACACCTAATCCACCCTAGTACTAAAAGTTGACACTAATTTTTTGACCCTGGGTCTCAAGTTACAATATCAAAGGAATGGTAGGAGCAGGGGAAAATGGTTATAACCTGTTTCTCAGGGGTCTTGGGAAAGAACATCATCATAATTTAGCCAAGGGTTTGGAGAAGTCATCTCATATATATATATATATATATATATTTTTTTTTTTTTTTTTTTTTTTTTTTTGAGACGGAGTCTCGCTCTGTCGCCCAGGCTGGAGTGCAGTGGCGCAATCTCGGCTCACTGCAAGCTCCGCCTCCCGGGTTCACGCCATTCTCCTGCCTCAGCCTCCCGAGTAGCTGGGACTACAGGCGCCTGCCACTGCGCCCAGCTAATTTTTTCTATTTTTAGAAGAGACGAGGTTTCACCATGGTCTCGATCTCCTGACCTTGTGATCCGCCCGCCTCGGCCTCCCAAAGTGCTGGGATTACAGGCGTGAGCCACCGCGCCCGGCCCATCTCATATATTTTAAGGTAAGACAAAACCAGTGCAAACAAAACCATACTGGCTCACAAAAGCCAATGATGTGTATATCTTTCCAACTCTGTATTGAGTGACAACATGCCAGTATCTTGAAATTGGCCAATGCTATAAATTAGGGAATTTGTTTTTGAGACCTGGTTGTTAGATATTTATCAGCATACCACTGGACAAAACTCTCCATAGTACAGCCTCATCCATCAATAACCCACTCACACGAACAGTCTAGTGTGAACTCTCGGCTCCATTTGCAGTGGACAGTGACTTGTCCCTGATAAATGGCTTACTCTGGCCTTACTCCCCTGATAGGGTATCAGTGAACCTGGGAGGTGTTCCTCCTCTCCTCTGGCTTCCTCCCCACCCCTCTTCAGATACCTCTCCCACCCCAACACCAGACCTTTTTCCCTCACTCACTCAAGGCCATAACTGATCCCATTGACTTTGCCAGAGTGGATATCTCATATGAACAGTCTTTTCAGAACATCTATTTCACTTGCTTTACACTTAATCACATCCTGTCTTGTGACACCTCTTCCATTATTGCTCTGAGTTTCTAGTTGTTTATTGTTAACAATTAGAATAAATTTAACTAACAGACATGCGTTTTTATCACATATGAGAATGGCGGGTAGCAACTGCTCTTTCAGACAAAGCTCGAGTTTAGATGTCTGTGCCCCAGGTTTAAGATGGCTTGGCCACCGACTTGTGACCTTGGGTGTGTCATTCTGAGTATGGCTCCTTAACATCACTGTGTCCCCCATACATCACCTAATATCTGTCATACGGTAGGTGACAAATAACTTGAGTTGACCTTAACTAAAATCCCCCAGCCTGCCATCTCCACATTTGTTAAACTGGACCAGAGAATCCAAAAAGATCCTTCTGGCACTCTTATTTGGTGGTTTGATGTCTTGTCTCTACAACTGAATTGTAAGCTCTTTGAGGGCAGGGTTTCCTTAGACAAACTGGCATAATGGGAAGAGCACAGGCTTTGCTATTGGCTATATCTGTATTTGAATCTCAGCTCCACTGCCTACTGGTTGTGTTGCCTTGAACAAGTCACTTGTTGGAGAAAACAATTAACTCTGCTTCATGAAGCCATTTGAAGATAATTAAGAGAATGTTTGTAGAGCATGAGACATAGTGCCTGGTATACAGCAAGGGCTTCCTGCCCTGGGATCTGTGGGGTCTCTGAACAGCATTCTACAGTGGCTGCAGAGCCTGAAAATCCATCAGGAGGTTGGTCTGACACATTCTTTCTTTTTGATTTGACTGTGGTCAGAAGTTTTAGCACCCAGATTTTGAGGACATCATGCATGCCCTCCCTATCTCCAAGACCACTCCAACTCCCAAAGCAAATACACAGATGGTGGTTCTCAGGGCTCATTCCTTCCCCCTGTACAGGCTGTTTCTTCATGACCCCAACTTTCTCCCCAAGCCCTATAAGGAGGCTTCTGGGGTACAGAACAGGCAGGGGCCTGGGCCAAGGGTGAGAGAAACAGAGGGAAGAGAAAGCAGCCAGGGCCCCACTGGAGCTGGGCACCCCCATGCATGAATAAAGCCAGGCATAGAGGAGAGGCGAGTGGGTGGATGTGGAATTTGGCAGATGATTTCCCTTTTCCTTTTCAGGAAATCAAAAGCTAGTTCAGAGAAGGTTGAGTTTATGGGAATTCAAGAGGGCGAGGTAATTTTAAATCTTCACAAGAATAAACTCATCTAAGAACAGGAGGTGGGGCCAGGGCTGCAAGGGTTTAAGCTTATAGGCTGTAGCCCCACTGAGAGCCACTGGGCCCCGTTCCACCTTGCCCCACTGAGCACTCAAAGGCTACACCTGGGCCCTCGCCCCCAGGCCCAACAAGACATTTCCTTCTCCACCCATTAGGTTTCTAGGGATGTCCCAACGCATCATCTCTTTGCCCAGAGGCCATAGCCCCAAACACAGGTTTCTTCCCAGGATCTCTACCTTTGATGCCAGATTCTTAGCTGAGAGAGAAACAGGCCTAAAACTCACCGACAAATTCCGGCGTCCCAAAAATGTTCTTAAATTCAACTCCATCTTCTATTTCGTGAGCCAGACCAAAGTCAATCAGCTTGATGTGTGGAATAGGAATATTCTTGTCTAACAACATAATGTTTTCTGGCTGGACAACAAAAAGGAGGAAAAAAAAAGGAAGGAAGAAAAGAAAAAGAAAAAAGACGATAATTAAAGGCTGGTTGGTTTGTGTTTTGGCTTTGGGGTTTGGGGTGGGACTTGGTGTTCTTTTTAGGAGACTGAAACAGCATAAACTCTTCCTTGTTTTTGTGTCCTCAGTCTTCTCTGTGAACTCAAAGACAGGCAAAGCATTGAGGGCAAGGCCTGGGTTTTACTAAACCTTCTGCTCACAGCAGAACTGAAGACTCCAGCCTTCATCTCCGTTCTGTCTCTGAGTGGCAGATCCCTTTAATGCAGTGCCTCTGTTTTCCCATCTGTCAAATGGGGTCAGAGATACTTGCAGCATTTCCTGTAAACAAACCCAGCACTGCTGTGTAAGTGTGAAAGGGAAGGGGACATCCCAGCTTAGCCTCTGTTTATACTTGGCTTACTGACTTGGTCTTCCTGACCGCCTCTTTCCCCTGGCCAGCCAGCTTCCTGTTGACAACATTCCCCTCCTCTAGACTAACTGTGTAGCCCACATTTCTCTCTGTGTTTAACTAATTTTGGTCCTCAGCAGGACACAGGAAAAAATGCACCCCATTTCCAGGGAAAATACCAGCCGCTCAGGCTATTTCCAGCCCAGCAAGCAGCTGCCAGGTCTGACACAACAATGCAGGTGGGTGCAGCGTAGGGGACAGCCCCTCACACACCCATGGGCCTGGCCCTCACACACCCCAGACTCCCAGTGAGGCTACAATGGAATCCTGAGGTCTCCCTTCTCACTCCCACCCAACCACTCAGACTACGGTCCCCTCTGCTTCACCCACTTTCTCCCACCACACAACTTTCCTTCACTCCACTCTAAAGGAAATGTCCCAAAAACACACATCCGCACAAAATCTGTATACAAATGTTCACAGCAGCATATTCCCAATAGCCCTGAAGGGGAAACAGTGAATGAATGGATAAACAAGATGTGAACACCCATAGCACATCTAGTATCCACATGTGAATGCTATTTGGCCATAAAAAGGAATGAAGTCAAAAAAATAAAAAGGAATGAAATACTGCTGGGCACGGTGGCTCACGCCCGTAATCCTAGAACTTTGGGAGGTCGAAGCCGGTGGATTACTTGAGGTCAGGAGTTCGAGACCAGCCTGGCCAACATGGCAAAACCCCTGTTTCTTCAAAAAATACAAAAGCTGGGTGTGGTGGCACACTCCTGTAGTCCCAGCTACTCAGGAGGCTGAGGCAGGAGAATTGCTTGATCCAGGAGGTGGAGGTTGCAGTGAGCCAAGATCATGCCACTGCACTCCAGCCTGGGCAACAGAGTGAGTCTCCATCTCAATAAATAAATAAATAAAATAAAATAAAATATAAAGAGGAATAAAGTATTGATACCTGCTACAGCAGCAATGAACCTTGAAAACATTATGCTAAGGGAAAGAACCAGTCACAAAAGACAAAAAATATTCCATTGATACAAAATACCCAGAATAGGCAAATCCACAGAGACAGAAGATAGATCAGTAGTCGCCTAGGATTGGGGGAATGGAGAGATGGGGAGTACAAGGTTTCTTTTCTATTTTCTATAAATGATGGTGGTGTTGGTTATTTAATTTCATAAACAGTACACATTAAGTGAATAAATCGTATAGTATGTGAATTATATCACCATAAAACTATTAAATAAAAAAAAATATTTAAGAAAATCGAACATCCCTGTTTCTTAAAGCACTGAAGGGCTTCCATACCTTGCACCTTTGCGCACGCCATCTGCTCTGCCTGGAAAGCCTTCTGTTCAGTCTCTGCCCATTGAAATCCTAGCTGGGCTTCAAAGTCTAACTCAATCCACCGTGTTTTTGCAGACTTTCCTCAGCAACCCTAAGCACCCTCCACCACCCCCAGGAGTGAGCCCCACCCTCCTCCAGGCCCCACCAAGCTTATTTGAACCTTTCTGTGATGAATATTTGGCATGCTTTCTCTTGTCTAGTGGTCCTTTGCTGTTTTTATCATAGCTCCCCTACCAGAGCTGTCTTCAGCTGGAAGGAGGATTCATATCTTTGCATCTTTGCATCTTTGCCCCTGCAGTGCACAGCATAGCAGCTGGCGTGCTGAGGGTGACCCTAGCTATTAGCTGGATTGATACTGAATCTGGACGGATGCCTTCCCCCATGTGCCCCTGGCTGCCTATGGTCTCTGTGACCTTCCAGCTGGAAACTTCCACTCAAGGGAGCTGGCTGAGGCCTTCCCCAACTTTTTTTCCATTTTTAAAAAAATAAATAACACATTTCCTTTTGCATTTTTTGCTTTTTCATTCCTCTTCCCCTCTGGAGATTACTCTCAACACTGTTTTGAAAATGTGTCCAAGTCTTTTCCCAAGGCACCGCAAATTTCCCCAAGGCCGTACAGAAAGGAGCATGAGGGTAGGCGAGGTCAGCTTATGACCTGGAGAGGATCCAGGAAAGTGGGCCCACTCCAGCACCCCTGACCATCCCACGGGGGGCTGCCCACAGACCCCAAGTGTCCTTGCACTCCATGCAGTCAGCTGCAACCTCCCGACTACCAACTATCTCCCAGGTAGACAGTTTCACCGTCTTAGGAACTTCTCCTCTCCTCCAGGGAAAAGACCCTGAGACATCTCTCTGGTGCTGAAAGGCCATGGCCCCAGCCCTCCCAACCACCATAGATGAGGGCCTAGGACACCGCCACACACCACACGCTGACTGGGGGTGGGAGCCACAGTGGGCAGAGGTGGAAACACCAGACATGGTGATCCCCAGGACTATGGAGCAGCAGGGATGAGGTGGTGGAGGGGAAGAATTGAGGCTGAAATCTCCAAGGCAATGCTGCCTGAGAGATGGGAAGTCTCCTTCCTCACATCCACTCACCTCTGTGGCACACAGTCCAGGAGAGATGGTTTCCCCACTGGCCTATGAGAACCTCAGGGCAGGCTGGGCACAGTGGCTCACGCATGTAATCCTAGCACTTTGGGAGGCCGAGGCTGGGGGATCACCTGAGGTCAGGAGTTCGAGACCAACCTGGCCAATATGGTGAAACCCCATCTCTACTAAAAATATAAAAATTAGCTGGGTGTGGTGGCAGGCGCCTGTAATTCCAGCTACTCGGGTGGCTGAGATAGAAGAATCACTTGAACCCAGAAGGCGGAGGCTGCAGTGAGCCGAGAACACACCACTACACTCCAGCCTGGGCAACAAAGTGAGACTCCATTTCAAAACAACAACAACAACAACAAAAAAGAACCTCAGGGCAAGACCATGTTTCCCACCGCCCCCCCAGTCCCATCTGTCCTCAGCCCCACCCTAAGAATCTAACACACAGCAGGTGACTTCTCTCCTGCTTGGAACACTCTCCCCGCACTACGCCAACCCCAAACCTGGTTAGTTCCTATTCACATTTCAGCAAAGGTAGTACCTCCTCCAGAAGGCCTTTCCTGCTGTTTCCCTGCCTACCGCCCTCCCCAGTTCCCAAAGTACCCTGTAATACCCGAATGCGGTGCTTCTTACTCTGATGAGCTTGTCTGCTTCTCACCCTCTACTGGGTTGCCCAAGGGTTTTGTTCCTGTCATCTCCCCAGAGGTTGGGATAGAGCCTGATATCCAGCAGGCGCTCATTATATGTGCCCTAAGTGAAGACAGGTGCCCCAATTAAGCCCCTGCAATATACAGGACCCAGTGCTAAGCAAACATGCGACATACTTTATACTTCATTGAACTCTCAACTACCTCACGTGCTGGGTGTTACCATTCCTCTTTTGGAAAAAAAAAAAAAAAAGAAACCACGACTGGCCAGGTGTGGTGGCTCACGCCTGTAATCCCAGAACTTTGGGAGGCAGAGACAGGAGGATTGCTTAAGCCCAGGAGTTTAAGACCAGCCAAGGCAACATGGCAAAACCCTGTCTCTACAAAAAAAAATTTAAACATTAGCCCAGCATGGTGGCACACACTTGTAGTCCCAGCTACTCAGGATGCTGAAGTGGGAGGATCACCTGAGCCCAGGAGGTTGAGGCTGCAATAAGCTATGATTGTGCCACTATACTCCAGACCTGGCAACAGAGTGAGACCCTGTCAAAAAGAAAAAAAGAAAAGAAAAGCAACGAAACCAAGACTATAACATTAGCTTGTATTATCCCTCATTAGGAATTTTAACCTTTATCTCTCAGGCCCCAAAGCCTGTGCTCCTAACCACTAAAATAAATTATTCCCCTTCCTTGCTTCTCAGGGGTCTTATTAATCTAGCCCAGGGGGACCGGGTGCAATGGCTCATGCCTGTAATCCCAGCACTTTGGGAGGATGAGGTAGGTGGATCACTTGAGGTCAGGAGTTCAAGACTAGCCCAACATGGTGAAACTCCGACTCTACTAAAAAAGATACAAAAATTAGCTGGGTATGGTGGCACACGCCTGTAGTCACCACTACTCAGGAAGCTGAGGCCGGAGAATTGCTTGAACCCGGGAAGCAGAGGCTGCAGTGAGCTGAGATCATACCACTGTAATCCAGTCTGGGCAACAGACAGGGACTCTGTCTCAAAAAAAAAAAAAAAAAAAAAAAAAAAAAAAATCTATCCCAGACAAAAGCAGCAATGCCACTCTGGCCTGGCAACCTGGGGCAACCACGTGCCTGGCTCAGACACAGCTGTTTTCCTCCTCTGGCACCTGCATCCTACCCCAGGTTGCCTTTTCTTCTGGTGATGCTTCCATGCAAGTGAGTAGCCCCAGACCTCATCCCTGGCCTCAGGAGCTCCTGAGCAGGAGGTCCTCAAGTCAGATGAGAAAACGGAGGTCCTGGCAGGGGGAACACCCAAGCTGGGTCTGGATAAAGGGATGTAGCCTGGGGGTTTCAGGCTGGAAGGTGGCCATGGGGCAGCAGGAATGCTCTGTTGGGTGGTCAGGACCCGGGTTCTTGTCCCCACCTTCACCACTCATTGGACCATTTGGACCAGACATACCCACAGACTCAGACCTGCCCTGACTGGGAGTAAAGAGAGG